TGTAAACTTGTGTAAGCGAGACAGCGTGTTGTGTAAACTCCTGTTAGCGAGACTGCGTGTTGTGTAAACTCATGTTAACAAGACAGCGTGTCTTGTTTAAACTCGTGTTAGCATGACAGTGTGTTGTTTGAACTCCTGTTAGCGAGAATGCGTGTTGTGTAAACTCATGTTAACAAGACAGCGTGTCTTGTGTAAACTTGTGTTAGCATGACAGTGTGATTTGTGAACTAGTGTTAGCGAGACTGCATGTTGTGTAAACTCGTGTAAGCAAGACAGCATGTTGTGTGAATTCGTATTAGCGAGACAGCGTGTTTTGTAAACTCGTGTAAGCGAGACAGCGTGTTGTGTAAACTCCTGTTAGCGATACAGTGTGTTGTGTGAACTCATGTTGGTGAGATTGCATGTTGCGTAAACTCGTGTAAGCGAGACAGTGTGTCGTGTGAACTTTTGTAAGCTAGACATTGTGTTGTGTGAACTCATGTTAGCCTGACAATGTGATGTGTGAACTCATGCTAGCAAAATAGCATGTTGTGTGAACTCTTGATAGCAAGACAGCATGTTTTGTGTTAAACACGTGTTTGCATGACAGTGTGATTTGTGAACTAGTGTTAGCGAGACTGCATGTTGTGTGAACTCAGGTTAGCGAGACCATGTTGTGTGAATAAGTGTTAGCTTGACAGCGTGTTGTATAAATTTGTGTTAACAAGACAGCATGTTTTGTGTAAACTCGTGTTAGCGACTGTCAGTGTTATTTGTGAACTAGTGTTAGCGAGACTGCACGTCGTGTGAACTTGTGTTAGGGAGACAGCATGTTGTGTGAATTCATGTTAGCTTGACAACGTGTTGTGTAAACTCGTGTCAGCGAGACAGCGTGTTGTGTGAACTTGTGTTACACATGTTGTGTAAACTCGTGCTAACAAGACAGGATGTTTTGTGTTAACTCGTGTTAGCATGACAGTGTGATTTGTAAACTAGTGTTAGCGAGACTGCATGTTGTGTGAACTCATGTTAGCGAGACAGCGTGTTGTGTGAACTCGTGTTAGCGAAACTGCATGCTGTGTAAACTCTTGTAAGCAAGACAGTGTGTTGTGTGAACTCATGTTAGCCTGACTGTGTGAAGTGTGAACTCATGTTAGGGAAAGAGCGTGTTGTGTGAACACGTTAGCAAGACAGCGTGTTGTGCGAACTCATGTTAGCAATACAGCATGTTTTGTGTAAACTTGTGTTAGCATTACAGTGTGATTTGTGAAATAGTGTTAGCGAGACTGCATTTTGTGTGAACTCGTGTTAGCTTGACAGCTTGTTGTGTAAACTTGTGTTAGCGAGACAGCGTGTTATGTAAACTCGTGTTAGTGAGACTGCGTGTAGTGTAACTCGTGTAACTTTTGAGAGCTAGACAGTGTGTTGTGTGAACTCATGTAAGCCTGACAGTGTGATGTGTGAACTCATGTCAGCGAGACTGCATGTTGTGTGAATTCATGTTAGCAAGACAGCTTGTTTTGTGTAAACTCGTCTTAGCATGACAGTGTGATTTGTGAACTAGTGTTAGCAAGACTGCATGTTGTGTGAACTCATGTTTGCGATCAGACAGCATGTTGTGTGAATTCGTGTTAGCGAGACAGCATGTTGTGTAAACTAGTGTTCGCAAGACAGCGTGTTGTGTGAAATCGTGTTAGTGAGACTGTGTGTTGTGTAATCTCGTGTAACCGAGACAGTGTGTTGTGTGAACTTTTGTTAGCTAGACATTGTGTTGTGTGAACTCTTGTTAACCTGACAGTGTGATGTGTGAACTCATGTTAGCAAAGCAGAGTGTAGTGTGAACTCATGTTAGCGAGACTGCGTGTTGTGTGAACTCGTGTTATACAAATTATACACAGAAAATGTGACAATATCTTAGAACTCAATTTGATAGCCTATAATTATCTCATGAATTGACATTTTATTAGTCAAGGAATTATAAATAAAAAAATTTCATTTTTTTTTTGTTACAGGTGTGACACATCTGAATTCTGAAATTTGATACAAAGCATGACCATGATTTGCCAAAAGAGCATCTGTTTGGATGTGACAAGAAATAAACAGCATAGTGAAGTTAAGTCAAGTTTTGGTTCGTGAAGACAACTTTTAAATTCACCGTATATCATATATCACAAATATGAACATATCTATTGCTCTCAGTTTTTCAAGTGAAATAAATTTTGTAACAGAAATACATGTAATTACATTGGATTTGGAATAAATGTTATTTCTAAATATAATATTTTGTTTGTGTTGCATGTTGACCTCTTTATTAAGGTCTTCTATTTCGAAGTTTCAACTTACTTATTCTAATGGTTAATCAAGATAAAGATCCTCTGTCCTCAGCAGCAATATAAGATCTTGTAATACATGTATGTGTATTTTTACTGTATAATGTAAGAAATTTGCTATTTTGGCACATGCAACTAAGGCATAACCATGTGCAGGATACCAAGGAATTCCGTACAGTGGACATGTACATGAAGTTTTCAAATACAAGATTGACGAGATGTCCAGACTCCTGTCACATTTCAAAGTCAATGAAGCACTAAATCTGCAAAGCTGTGCCTGTTGCATTATCACAAGTGTCTAGAATTTCACAATTTCATGTTCTAGAGCTAAAGAAAAACTTGGCATAGAGCATCCTTGAGTATAGGGGATTCAAATGGTTCTTATGTAGGGCAATACTTTAAAATAGATTTGTTTCTTTAATACTGTAAATGCATTATATTTAGTGTGTACGATATTTGGTGGAAATTGTCTTTTGGCGGAAATTGACTTTTGAATAAGTTAAAGTAGATTTGATTTAGAGCATTTTTTAGTATTCTTATTTATGTGTTTATGTACATGTACAAGACATTTAGCTTTGTACTTGATTTAGTAGTTGCTGCATTCTGCCAAAGATGCTCAAAAAGAATACACAGCCCTATGTTATATGTTTACAGTATACCTGTCAGAGAATTTTACACTCCTGTTGAGGTACCACTACTTGCCAGTGGAAAGCTGCAAATCCAAAACATACAAAACACGATCCTGTGTGTTTCTTGTAAAAGTATTGTTCTACTTATTGATTGTCAAACAATGGAGATTGCTAATCATTATTATAAACACATTTGGATTACTTAATTTAATTTGTGTAATTTTTTTTACCGAGTTAAATATTGTATATAAAATGTTTTTAAAGCCATTTTTAAGATGGTAATGCAGCAAAACACCTATGTTTCTGTAATATGACACATTTCGCTACAGTACATGATTGCAACAAAGATGATATATCCGATATCAAAATTCAAAATATTGGAAGTTTAAATGTTGTGTGTACACTTTCAAGAATGCTGTCAGAGAGGGTATCATTAGACCTCATGCTCACACTAATTTAAAGAATTCAAGTAAGGGTTTTGGGGACAAAGCAAAAAAGAGAACTTTAGCAAAGTTGAGAATCTAAAAAGAAACCGTTAATTTGCTTATAGCTAAGAAGGAAGACCCACTCGTTGCTTTGCAACGAGCTTTGCTCTAGTTGCTTATTCTTTTTTGTGTGTATTAGAAGATTCCTTTTTATATGGAATATTTATCACACTGTAATGATGATTTTATGAGTTTGTACAAGCCAGACCTCGTAAATTTTTCATTTCGCGTGCTGAATACTATTATTTAGTAAAAAAAAAAGTATTTCTAAAATAAAAAGTGGTCCTTCTAGGACTTGAACTCGGGACCTCTAACATGGGAGCAAGAAACATACCACTAGACCATGGAATCGCTTTACATGAAGTTATGCCGAAGTGAAGTGACATACATGTACTGTATATATTCATGCTCGGTATTGTCAAAATTTTACACAATCCAGGGTGTTTGATTGATTTAGCCTTTATCAAACAGTTCTAATAGATGTAATAAGAACATAAAGTCCACTGAGAACCTGTTTTATACGCAATAACTCTCCTCATGCCCCTGTACTACAAATAGCAATATGTAATACTATAAATACTAAACAAAAAACAAACAGGTCACTTTGAGAGGGGTGAGAGAGGTCCTAGGGAGTTTTTGTATAAAATTACATTGCATAAGCTCAAAATCTTCATGTAATATCACCCGGAAATGATAGTGTTACACACAGACAGAATGCATAAATTTACGACCTTGAACTTTGACCTTTTGACCTCAAAATCAATAGGGTCTTCATTAGGCCACAGGCAGTTGTTATGTAAAAAATAATTGCAATAGCTCAAATGGTTTTAGAGATATCGTGTGGAAACCAAAGTGTTATAACAGACAGAATTTGCTTATTTATGACCTTAACCTTTTGTCCTCAAAATCAATAGGGTTCTTCTTTAGTCCATGGCGAGTTGCCATGCTAAATTTCATTGCAAAAGCTCAAAGGGTTCTTGAGATATCATGTGGAAAAGAAAGCGTTACAGGCAGACAGAAAGACGGACGGACAAACAAACCCAAATTAATATCCCCCACTTTTCAAGCGGGGGACAAAAATAAAGAGCTTGTCATCCAGTAATTAAGTGCTTTGGCAGACAATAAATTACAATTAAGAATGAAATGAAAAACCGATGCACTATTCCATGTATCTTAGTGTAGTCTACTTGAGTGCCAAGTAATATTGAAATCAGACTAAAATTGTAGGACCAGTAGAGTTTTGAAAAATTGTTTACAGACAGACGGACAGACAGACAGCTAGACAGACAGACGGCCGGACGCCTGACGCATTACTAATGCATAAGCTCTTCTGGTCTCTGACCAGCAGAGCTCAGATAAAAAAAACACCTGTAAATTTCAAAATAATCATCCAATCAAATTGAAAATATCACGTGCACACCTTCATATGGTAAGTAATATGTGTACAAATTTTCAGACAAATCCTTCCAATAGTTTCTGAGAAATGGATGGTCTGACAGACAGGGTGATTCCAATATATCAATCTAAACTTCGTTTGCGGGGGGTATTATAAACTATGTAAGAAAGGGGCACACCTACAAAGCAAAGGAAAGGAAGTTACCTGCCCAGGACATAAAGACTGCACTGAAACCATTCCTCTGGAGACCACAACTGGAGATGAGAAGAGATGGGCCGCTAATTGTGTTGGTGAGTTGCAAAGTGATGGCTGTCCACTAGTCCCATTTCACCAATGATGGAGACAGTGCCGCTGCATCTGAACAACAAGGACATGTGATTGAAAACCTTAAGGACTTACGTAACTTCTTTGACTCTCAAAGAAAGCATACTGCTAAGGCTCCATTCAGCAGCCACATGTTTCCGGGAAGAACCAAGGCCATAAGAGAATCAATACAGAGAAGATTTGCCTTGGACTTGAAGCTTCGATGCAGGACAGAGTACGAGAATTGCTACAAACACTACTCCGGCGACTTACCTTTGATGAAGCATGCTATGTCTACTGCCGTTGGTTCCCTCATAAACTGCTGCCAGGGACAACGCGGGAAGTCCTGTCAACTCTCTTCCTTTTCCTGTTGTGGACTGAAAAGCAATAAGTTGAAATCTTCAGTTTTGCCTAGTGACTTTGAATTAAACATGACAGAATAAAGTGCCCCGCCACAGCATGATACGCCCGTCAAATATTGTTCAATAATCATGAATTGGTTAGGATGCAAGAAAATCAGGTAGCCTTGATTAACAGATTGACACAGATTTCAATTATCTAATTTCCATTTCTTATCATACTTCTCTAAGAGCCTTAGTTACAGTGTATGGACTGATTATAAAAAATAATACATCATATAATTCTAAACTGGTTGTGTTAGAGCATAACAATATCCATCTGCAGCTTTAAATTGTTTATTGCATATTTTATGAAATGCTAGTCTGATAAAAATCAAACATAAATCAAATTAATAAATTATTCTTCAGACTATAACATGACTGCAATTTGTTGCAAATATATATAAAAATTGAAACATAATTTTTTTTTTTCAATGAACACATGTATAATAAGTTTTAATCATATTATACAATACTAATTTAGTTTTAATCATACACTAAAACATCAATTTGTTTTAATTACATTTCACCAGTTGAAAGATCTTTATCTGGACTAGCCATCAAGAACTCTTAATTAACACAAGCAACTATGAGGCCATTTCTTTTTGCCCAACTCCCAAGAGATAAATTAAGATTACAGCTCCATCAGATATAGAGTTGCTCTTAGCTCCTGACAACAAACTCATTAATTTCTCTCTAATTTCACATGCAAATTTCTGCTATCAAAATTCTTCTTGACCAGTGCTTGATAATTATGCCCATGGGACAAACTGAATTCCTCTCAAAGCATAAACAATTGTTACACTGTACAGATTGCTGTAAAGTATACAATGAAAAAATAAGTTTTTACTTAATTAAATATTTTTTAATAAGGATACAACTGTATTTTTACATTTTTTAGGATTATGCAATTAAGAATTTAAAAGACTTAGTTTTTTGATAAAATTCACTTTACATAAAGGTCACAGTGACCTTGAAATAGGCCGCGACACACCTTCTACTTTAGATGTATACTTTTGCCAAGTTTGAAAGCTCTAGGTCAAATAGTTTTCTAGTTATGAGCCGGACAGGATTTTTCCATATTTGGCCATAGCATCTTTATTAAAGGTCATATCGACCTACTTTTTGTGCGCGACACACCGTCTACCCAAGAAGTATAAGTTGACAAAGTTTGATAATCCTAGACCTAATAGTATTCAAGTTATGAGCCGGACAGGAATGGACAGACGGACAGACGGACGGACGGACAGCTATACAGTTGAGAGGTACATTGTGCATTTTACGGAAGGTATGGGGTTATAATTTTGCTTTGTGGGGTTATTAATAGTACAGTGGTGACTTGAGAGGTTTCATTAGGAATTCAAACAAATGGTATATTGTGGGGTTAAAGGTCTATATTTGTGGGGTTAAAGATCTATATTTGTGGGGTTAAAGATCTATATTTGTGGGGTTTAAAATAAATTATTTAATATCAAGTCAACTTTACGGGCAACTAATTATAAGTACTTAAAATTGTTACTGTTTATCTGAAGAACTTAGAACGGATATTGCAATAACTTTTTTTCAACTACTGCCTAGCAGTAACAATGCAAAAAAATGTTTTTATTTGAGGATAACTGTTGCATCAAAGTAAAATTAACCCATCATGTTTTCACATAAAGATGATAGACAAGAATATTCCAGAGAGTGTTAAACAAACAACCCCACTATGCTATATAGAAATAACAGACAACACTAACCCCATAAATTATAAAACAAACAGCCCCAGTGTGTATTCCTATACAGATAATAGACAACACTAACCCCATTAAGTGTTTGGACAACAACCCCACTATGTATTCTTATAAAGATAATAGACAACACTAACCCCATTAAGTGTTTGGACAGCAACCCCACTATGTACTCTCATAAAGATAATAGACAACACTAACCCCATAAAGTGTTTGGACAGCAACCCCACTATGTACTATCATAAAGATAATAGACAACACTAACCCCATAAAGTGTTCGGACAACAACCCCACTATGTACTCGCATAAAGATAATAGACAACACTAACCCCATAAAGTGTTTGGACAGCAACCCCACTATGTTCTTATATAGATAATAGACAACACTAACCCCATAAAGTTTTGGACAGCAACCCCACTATGTACACTCATAAAGATAATAGACAACACTAACCCCATAAAGTGTTTGGACAGCAACCCCACTATGTACTCTCATAAAGATAATAGACAACACTAACCCCATATAGTGTTTGGACAGCAACCCCACTATGTACTCTCATAAAGATAATAGACAACATTAACCCCATAAAGTGTTTGAACAGCAACCCCACTATGTACTCTCATAAAGATAATACACAACACTAACCCCATAAAGTGTTTGGACAGCAACCCCACTATGTACTTTCATAAAGATAATAGACAAAACTAACCCCATAAAGTGTTTGGACAGCAACCCCACTATGTATTTTTTATAAAGATAATAGACAACACTAACGCCATGAAGTGTTTGGACAGCAACCCCACTATGTACTTTCATAAAGATAATAGACAACACAAACCCCATAAAGTGTTTGGACAGCAACCCCACTATGTACTTTCATAAAGATAATAGACAACACTAACCCCATAAAGTGTTTGGCAGCAATCCCACTATGTACTGTTATAAAGATAAAAGACAACACTAACCCCATAAAGTGTTTGGACAGCAACCCCACTATGTACTCTCATAAAGATAATAGACAACACTAACCCCATAAAGTGTTAGGACAACAACCCCACTAAGTACTCTATAAAGATAATAGACAACACTAACCCCATAATGTGTAACAACCCCATTATGTTCTTATATAGATAAAAGATAACATTAACCCCACAAAGTGTTAGACAAGAACCACAATATGTTCTGATAGAAAATATTAGACATCTTAGTAACCTCAGAGTGTTAAACAAACAACCCCGCTGTATTCTCATGTAACAGATACCAGTAACCATATGAATTTAAGTGTTTGAAAACCCCAGTATGTTCTAATATCAAAAAACTCTACCAGGGACTGGTAATAAAAGAACAAGAACCCCCACTATGTTCAATCGCAACTTCTCGAGCCTTTCTGACTAGCTGACAAATGACCTCGAATGTATTACACGTAGTTAGACGCCATGGCAACAACCCCCCCCTTTTCATGATCTTCGAAATAAATGCATGAAGACCTTTTATCTGTGGAATATGGAGTTTAATTTTATTCAATGCTATGATATTACATAAAACTTACTATAAAAGGGACTTCTTACTTCCTCTATCCTATATTTGAAAAAAACAAGAAAAGCATAACCTTTAACATCAGGTGATGTTAATACATTCGAGGTTGTTTTTCCGAACTCTGACGGAAAGACCCTGAGTGAGATGATGCAATTGCCAGTACGTCATATCCTCTTTTTTTTTACTATTAAAAATACCAAACTATACTCATAATACTTTTTCCTATTTTGATAACATACTTGAAAATTTGTTTTAAATATTTTTTAAACTATTTTTAATTGGATAATCTCTTTATCTTAACTGCTTATTTCTAATGAGAATTTTTCCTTTGAATCTGCTGGTGCATGAATTTGAAGTGTACATTATGCTTCAAAAGCATACATAATTTCATTGTAAATTAATAATAATAAATAAAAGAGATGATCCTGATTTTTTAAAAAAAAATTTAATCAAACTTTTCAGTTACTCAACAAGATGAACACAGATAAGAAACATGTCAATAAATGTAGAACACAGAAAAAAACCCTCAAAATTTGAGACAATCTTCATAAATGTAAAAAAAAAACAAGTATATAGTGAGTTGTCAAATAACTCTAAAACTTGCATGGTGTTGCTACTTATTTTAAACAAAATATATTAATTTAAATGAAGTTTTAAGAAAAAATGTGTAGTCTAATATCTCATCATTTTGCATTTTAAAATTGATATTTAAACAAAAATAACGATGTACATCCTTTTGAAAAATATACTCAAACTTACAGCTGCACCCCCACTCCCATCCCCTAAAATAAAATGAAAAAAAACAACAACAAAAAAAATTAACATGCAATTGATTTACAATTTTCAAAAAAATAAAAATCAAACAACATAAATGTACATTTCAGTTTAATAATTATTTCTCACATTTAAAATGAGATCGCTAATTAAAAAAGACGAAAACTATGACTGTTACTTAATGTATAGAAATTCACCATGACGAATGCAATGTTCATAAAAGATCCTTTTGTCTTAAAGCTGAACACTACTCATAAACATAAGTAATCAGAGATTACATAGCTCAATTCAAAAAATGATTACTTCAAGTAAGAAACGGTCTCACATTTAACTAATAATCAAGAAGTTAATTTAGGGTTTGCAGTAACTTGAGAATAGACATCCAAATACTTGAAACTAGTTGCCCATCAAGAAAATCACTCTCTACCATCGGCTCATACATTCACCTCTGTCGTTGGCTCGCGTATACACAGTTTTAAACACGAGAAATAGTGCGTTTGTTTTAATTCATTACAATTCAATTTCTATGTTTATGTCTGAATTTTGAGATAAATATTTACTAAATCAATCCAGAACTATTGATTTGAATTGAAACAATTCTTCAAATATCAAGTTTTATACGTTATGTCAAAAATCTTGACGTGAGCCCATTGCAGAGGTGTCTGAGAGAGGAACGAACGACAACTCTGCATGGGAGATTGCAAGAAAATGTCATTCAATCCACGGCCCCTGAAAATGTTATCTTTTTAAGATCAACTAAAAATCGATTCATCTTCTTTTTCTGAAAAGTAAGTCAGGTCCTAAATGTCACCGTCTGGAGAAGGCAATGGCAAGAATGTATTGGGATTGTGCTTGTTCTTCTGAAAAGTCTTTCATTCATACTTCATGTATACCTGTCAAAAAAAAATACAGTAAAATATATTTCTAAATGATAATGT